TCACAGTAAAGGCCAACCCATTGCTACTGCATGACTCAAATTTCCCCCTTGCTTTTGCCTTGCTGTAGCAGCTACTCATCTAATCAGGGAGAGAGATTGCTGGAGGCTACCTTAAATGAAATCCAGAAATGCCACATTTTTACTGTGACCTTTGCTTACAATTTCAGTGGACACTTGAACTAACTTCTCTAAGGAGCAAAGCAACTGTATGTTAAAGCATCTATAGCGTAGCCCTAAATTGCCTCAGAGGTGGCTGAACCCTGCAAGTGAATTTCCCATCTTCTTAGCTCTAGGATTTTGTCTTTATAAATGCCTGCAGTGCTCCCTGTTTCTCCTTACTTGGACAAAAAGGTGGATGATTTTTTTTTTTCTTACTGTAATAAAGCCTGAGCAATTGTAATGTGATATTAAGTTTAGGTCTTCCAACAAAGTGTTTGTAACAGCTTGAGGAGGATGAAGAATACTTCGGTATACAGATTTCATGACTGTAACTGAAATGCCCGGGTTAGAAAAGTCGCGTTCTGGCTCACCCAGGAGCTGAACTGGCCTCTGGCACGGATGCTCTTTGTCTCCTCCTTTGCCTCCAGTGACAGCAGACAGACTCTAGGACCACACAGTTGCTCTTTGGCGCCTCGACCTGTGAGCTGCTTTTCTTTTGCTTTTTTTTCATTTGTGTGTTTGTTCCTAAATTTTGATGAACTATCAGATATGAGGAATAATTTTAGTTTATCTCAGTGGTGAAGGTATCTCAGGGTGAGCATGGAGTAACCAGACACTTGCAAGTCAATAACGTTTTCAGACCTAGAATGTTTCTGAAGCATAAAACTGGTGCAGTGATTTCTTCCTAGATCTGTTGGAGCTGCCGACTGCTATGGTTCCTTGGCAGTTTCATTGTTAAAGTCTTTCCATTTTCTCCTTTCTCGCTACTTTGACCAAAAAGTTGTGTTGAATTCAGTATTGTTCTGTCTAAATGTCTAAGCTCTATATTTCACAAATTGTTTTTGTTAGCAATTTCCTTACTGTGTTAAAATTTAAGATTACTTTAATGTCTTGCATAATATCTATAAGGGATTTTGGATTTTTTTCAGACACATACTGAGTTTTCAGCTAATTAAATATCCAGCTGTGCTGTGGGTTTTTAATGCTAAAATTAACTTTCACCAAATAATTTTAACATAATGTATTGAATTTTGTAACAAATTTGGAGTACTAAATTCATATAATTTTAAATGCAAACTAAGGATAGAAATGCTCAAGGATAAAAATTCTTAGCGAGACAAATGTTTATGTATAAACTGATAAAGTTATCTGAATTATTCTCCTTCCATGACTGATTATGTTGAGGAGAAACGTGTACTGTGTTACCCTGGCACACTTTAAGAAGAACATACGCTAATCCTTGTGTTACCACGACGTGTACTGTGTTACCCTGGCACACTTTAAGAACATACGCTAATCCTTGTGTTACCACAATGTACCAAACTACGCTGACGTCCCTGTATTTATTTTTTTGATACTAGATTTCTTAACACATTGCTACATACACAAACGCACATACACCCCCATGTACATGTTTTCTTTGCCTCCCTCTCTCCCCGCCCCCCCCCTTCTCTCACACCTTACTTTGACACTCCTTTTAATGGTAAAACTGGAACCCTTTTACAACATGTAAGCCACACCTGAGTAGCTGATAGGGGATCCAGCATGTGTGTTACTTTGATAGCAGCAAGAAGACAACCTTTGCACCTTAAGCTTAATGGTGTGTGTTTTTTTTCTTTTTCGTTTATTTATAAGACAATATAACTATAAGTGTAATTACTTTCAGCAAAACCTAATGGAAACTTGTAGTGGTTTGGGCTTGTTTCTAGGTATTAGAGTTCCAAGTGTACCCATAATGAGTGGTAGACAGTGACCTAACATTTTTGCAGCAGCATAGGATATAGAATCATTGAATTGTTTAGATTGGAAAAGACCTTTAAGACCATCAAGTCCAACCATTAACCTAACCCTGCCGTCCCACCACTAAACCATGTCCCGAAGCACCTTGTCTATCCTTCTTTTAAATACCTCCAGGGATGGGGACTCGACCACCTCCCTGGGCAGCCCATTCCAGAGCCTGACAACCCTTTCGGTGAAGAAATTTTTCCTAATGTCCAACCTAAACCTGCCCTGGTGCAACTTCAGACCATTTCCCCTCGTCCCATCACCCATTACCAGGGAGAAGAGGGGGCCCAAACTGACCCCAGTATTCAAGGTGCGGCCTCGCCAGTGCCAAGTACAGGGGAAGGATCATTTCCCTAGCCCTGCTGGCCACACTATTCCTGATACAAGCCAGGATGCCATTGGCCTTCTTGGCCACCTGGGCATACTGCTGGCTCATATTCAGCTGTCTGTCAACCAGTACCCCCAGGTCTTTTTCCGCCATGCAGCTCTCCAGCCACTCTTACCCAAGCCTGTAGCGCTGCATGGGGTTGTTGTGATGGAGGCAGTAAGAACTCAAAGGTAACAGCTGATTTTCTTGGTTAGAGAAGAGAATAGCCAAAGTGGCTTTCTCTTCCCAGCTCTTTGACAGATCCTCAAAGAAGAGGACAAAAGAACTTACTGCAGTTTTCTTAGTTTGATCTTCCATCTGTTTTTCTGGGATCCTGAGCTCATAAGCTAGCATAGGAGACGGATGATGCTTTACATTCTTAAATAAAGCGTAATAATAGTATTCTACCTTGCTCCTATTACTGGGTTTTGTTACCGCTGGGCCTTGTGGTGAGTATTTTAAGACACACAATGTGTTGGCTTGTTCTTTGAGACCATCACTCCACATAGACAACATGTGCAGTAAATGCAGCAGGTGCTGGCAGGATTTTGGGGGCAGTTGAGCGCTTAGCTGGATGCTGGCTGTTAGCAGAAGTGGTGCATCCAAGTACCTAATCCATATTTGGTTTCTTTGACAGTTAAACCTGGGTTTATTTCTTCCTATTTTGGGGTTGCTAATGAAATTAAGAAACACTGTCACATTCAACAAGCACATATATTCCTTGACTTCTTCACAGACATGTTACTTGACCTCAGTGACCTTCTTCAGGTATTGTATCTTTTTTTTTATTTGAAACTTTTGTTCAATTGTTAAAGCGTAAGATTAATTGCAAGCAAAGAGCTGTCAGCATGGGTGGTTGGGGATGTTCTAATTTCTCTCTAAAAATCCTGAATTGGAAAATCACTGGGTTTGTAAATCTGAGTAATTGTTCAGTAAAATTAAACGTCAAATACTTTTAATGCTGCAAATAACATATCAAGAGTTAGTGTGATCCTTTCATCAGGATTCAGAGTCACTGCAGTGGCACAGGGTCAGATGCTACGAATTTTTAAAATAACAGTTGTTGCAGACAGAAATAACCTTTTTTGGTAGGTAATGCTGTGTAAATGATTAGTGCAGTACGGAGATGTGTTTTATAAAATGCATTGTGAGAGAAATACGTACTTGCTCTGTGTGTGGAAATAAAAAGCTCTACTGACATATGCTGTCTTACCCTCATTCTCCATGTTACAACTGTTTTACATACAATGTGAGTAGGTTAGTTGCATCTATTTTTGTCCTCCCAGCTGTCTTGGTAAATGGCATCCTCTGAAGACTATTTATTGCTTGAAGCAATCTGCTGGAATTGCAATAATCAAATGAATCTTTAATTCTTAAAGTTAGTAACTTTTTTCTCTTTTCTAAACTCTTATTAAATTATTTTGATTACTTACAACCAAATACTGCATGTGTAGAATGGGAGGTTTATTTCCTTCTAAACACAGGTGATTTTTCATGGTGATTGTTATGAAATAGAACAATCACAGTAATATGAAGAATAGTCACCCGGTGTAAAGAAGAAGAGGTGTTGTATCTGTAAAAGACAAAAAAAAAAAAAAGTATTGTGAGAGCAGGAACAGACAAGAAAGATTGAATGATTTGTCTTTTCCCCTCTGTACATTCCAGCCAGAAAAGATGTGAGATGGGGGCATATGAGGACCAAAAGGTTAAAGAGGGGTAACTGAAGAGATGGGTGAGACAGAAATAGATTAGTAATAGGGAAATACTCAACACCAGAAAGAGGAAAAACGCAAAATTTCAGTGTCCTGATCAGTATTTATGTATTTAACTGTGTGCAAGACTTCTGATATGCTCTACTTCATAGCTGCTTTAAGGTGAATCTGAGCAAACAGGAATCTTAAATGTTATCATTAACTCTAGCTAGCCAGAAAGTCCTGTTCAAGAACCTATAAATGAGCTTTTCAGGTTCTAGCTTGATTTCTGTTCCACCCCAAGTTTGTTTAAAAAACAAACAAGCAAACAAAAATTCCAAACAAACCAAACAGAAAAACCACTCTGTGGCAAAACATCTATGGCCCAGGCAGAAACCTTTAGTACATTCGGCTTTAGATCAGCCTTTGCCCACAGATTGTGTGCCTAAAAAAGAAAAAGTTCATTAGATTGTACTATATTACCTTGAAATGGCTCTTTTTTTTCAAGGACAGCTCTCACATCCTGAAGCTGGGACGTGAATGTCATTAAAGAAGAAGAAAGGTTGTTGGCAGTAGCAGTAGTGGCAGTGGTATTATCTTTCCAAAATATTTAACTTTTTCAGACTCATCTGTACAAAATACGACATACTGGGCCAGGTAATTGTTTTTCTCAGTAAAATGAGAAAGGTGTTGATTTTGTATCAGAAAAAAAATCACATCTGAAAGACTAAAAAATGAGCTACTGCTGACCTTCACTGACTCTTGCTTAGATGCTAATAGCAGATTTTGAGATTTTTCTTCAGAATTGTCTACTTGATGCAGCTCAGTTGCTGTGAGAAGTGAAGTGACCTGCAGGGCTGCTAATCATCTGACTGCAGGAATTTTTTGAAGAAAGTTTCCAAATGAAACATCCTTATGGAGTGTCTTCATGGAGGCTACTGACTGAATTACAGAATATCTTGAAATAGGTTTCAGTGCATTTGAGGGGAAAAAGAATGCATAACAACCTTTCTTATATTGCTTCATTTAAAAGCAAAGCAAAATGCTTTGTAACTCCAGCTACCAGCAAAAAAGATAAATGGAAGCCTGTGAAAAAGGCCATCCATTGCTTCCTTTTGCCATCTTGTAGCTGGAAACAGTATTACCTGTGCCATTCTGCATCCCATTTATGGCACCGTCCACATCGGTGACCTTCAGTGTCTTGCAAGCGCTGGGAGAGCCAACACCCTTTGTAGCTCACAACCTAGGAAAGGTGGTAGCTAAAAGTAAAGAGTAATATAAAGAAGATTTGAACCTGCAACTCGGTATTTGTTTAATGACCTATCATATTTGTGCTCTTTCTCTCTTGTTCCAGTTAGCTTTTTTTTTTTAAAAAAAAAAGGGGGGAGGGGAAATGGAAAGCATTAGGTCTGTACTTCTTGTGCAGCCTCTCTTCCTGTCTTTATTGAGTTGCTTTGGGATTTGGTCCCCCATTCTCCATAAAAAAATAAAAAAAGCTGTCCCCTATAGTGTAATATGCTTTTAGAATAGTACTATGCAGCTAAAACTTAGCAATAGAAGAGGCTAATTTTCACTGTTAATGGCAGTCTGTTTAAGAAGTCATATCAGTCGTCTTATGCTGATGACTGAGATGTGGGAGTCTGTCTTGTTCCACTTGAGAACTGCTACATTTTATAATAGTTTTTGGAGCTTCAAAATTGCTGTCATCTTGGAAAAAGCCAAAATGCCTTTCTTTTTACTTCTTAATTGGGAAGGCAATTTCTTTGGCATTTTTTTCCTCCCATTTTGTCTTCAGGTAAAATATGTCCTATGTCCTGGAAACCTCCTGTTGAAAGTGTTGTCAGGTTCAGTATGCTGCTGGTATGTTTAGACTTTAAAGCATTATCTGATATGAACTTAAAATGTCCAGACCATTGCTACAAATCAGGCTCCTTCCTTGTGCAGAGCAGAGCCGTGCTGCATGCTGATTGAGTTGGAAGGACGATCAGTCATCAGTCTCTGACAGGGAAAGTACTTGCTTATATTTTCAAATACTGCATTTTACTTGCAAATATAATCTTTAGAGAGGTCTGTAATCAGGCCTTTTGTTTGCTTTTTTCTTAGTCCAATCTAAGCGACAGGCCTTGCTTGTTTAGGAGAGTTGCGAAGCTTGTCTAGCCTTGGCCCAACTTTTGATTTGAGCTTAGGTTTGCTCATCTGTTTCAGAGCACCTCATTTCTTCCACCTGGGGAACTGAAGTTTGGAGCTCAGTGTGGTGAAATGCTGCCTTTCTCACCCTGGGAAATGGCGGTTTCTTTTTTAGCCTCTTGTAATCTCCAGTGTCATGGTCTTTACAATGTGGTCATACAAGACTTTGGAAAGAGGTGTTGGCAGTGCTCTGATCTCCAATTTCAGCCTAGTAGAATATAATTTTTAGTGTGCCTTGTGGTGCGTCCTGCTAAGGCTAATGCTTACTGAAAAGATGTTAGACAGAGCCAGGCTCTTTATAGGAGTGTGCTGCAGGAGGATTAGCAGCAATGGACGTAATTAATTAAAATGAGATATTTTGACTTGATACCAGGGAAAGGTTTTTCACTATGAGGACAGTGAAGTGTTGGAACAGCTTGCTCAGAGCAGTTTTGAAATCTCTGTCCGTGGAGGTTTTCAAGATCCTGAGCAACCTGGTCTGTTTTTGTAGCTGACCCTGCTTTGAGCAGAAGGTTGGGCTGGAGACCTCTTGAGGTCCGTTCCAACCTGAATGATACTATGATTCTAGGTAAAGGAAGGGGATGTACAAGAAGTAAAAATCAGTAGCTGGTACCTGCTTGGTCTAGTCCTCCTTTGGTCTCTCTTGCACTTTAGAATACAACTCTCATCCCCTATTTCTTCTCTTCAGTTTGTCTAGTCAAGTAACGGTACTTTCTTGTCCGGAAGGATTTTTATTGAAAGTTATTTCTGTACTTTTGTTGGTTTTAGTTTTTTGAAAGGCATCATTGGCATCCCTGATTCCTCCATGCTTGTCGCAAATTAGTCTTTGACTTTCTTGCATAGTGGTATGATAATGGTTTGTTGTACAGCTGTGGTGTTGGAGGAGGAATTCTAGGACTACCAGATACGTGATTAGCAAAAGTAGACTCTACCTTCAGAGTCCCCAGACTGAAGGCAAAGCTTTAAAGCGTAGCATGAGAGGAAACTGCTTAATTTTGATTTGTGTCTCTTTTTGAACTGCAGCCTGGCAAGCTGGCTTTGGTACAGGTTTGTAGTTTTGTGTATTGTCTTTCGAGGTTAAATGTAATGTTCTGGTTGCAATATGCATCCAAAAAAATAAGACATTTCAGTTCACTGTGTGGAGAAGGGTAAAATAGAGTATTTTTTAAAGACTGTACTCATTTGCTTCAGTTTTTAATACCCTTTGTTCATTTAAAGTTATTAACATGTTGACTGCATTTGCCTTTATTGCCCCTATGCAAATTGCTATGTTGATTGAGTTAATTTAAACAACCTGGTTGGGACCTTCAGGCATTACTATACTAGAAATGTTAATAATGAATCAAATAACCACAGGTGCCTCTTTCCCCAGCAACAGACACTCTCCTTAAAAACTCATTTGCTTTTCATGCTTGCTTAATTATTTAGGCAAGCAGCCATGGATGTTTCACAGTGTGAATTCTCATCGTGTTCCAACTGCCCGGTCTTTGTCTTTCTAAAAGACAGAAGATCTTAACCACTGTCACCACTTGTAATATTTTTCCAGAATGCCACACCATGGTCTTCAAAAGTCTTTTTGGAAATTGCTCATAGTGAAAGAGTATTGATTTATACATTCATGGAAATTACAGTCAAGCAAAAACTTTCATTCAATGATTGCCGCTTTCTTTTTTGCTACTGTCCAGAAGGTAAAGTGACCTGGTAACTGTATGAATGGGAGATTCCCTGTTTCCCAAAGAGTTTAAAATTCTAGAAGGTGTTAAGACTGATGAACAGTTGAATTCCCGTGTCACTGGAAAGGAGGTATTTGTTGTTATTTTTAAAAGTGGAAGTATATATTGGTATTTGTGAACACATCAGGCATGATGTGAAAGCAAGAGGAAATTATGAAAGGATAAGAGTCCCTATGGAAGTGTCCCTTTGAAATCAGCATCTGATGACTGACAGATGTGAAATGAAAAAGACTGTGTCTCCAAAAAATACTGTGAAAGGCAAAGAGTATAACGAGTAGAAGGATCTTTCTATAAAGATGTAACTGAATAATTGGAAGCCATTCCTTTTCCAAATGCCTTTAATATATATATATAATAATATATTAACTAATATGAAGTCTTGTGTAACAAGGGCAGAAGTTAACTATTGCTAAAGGACAACATCTTACATAATAGTAAGTTCTCTGTAAAAACTTAGGAGTGAAAACATTGGGGTTTTGGGGTGGTGGGTTGGGGGTTTTTTTTGCAGTGCCTTGGTGAGTACTTTTTGTCTGAAAGATGTCTTCCTTCTGAAGTACCTATTTTTAAAAAAAAAAACAAAACCAAAAAAAATCCAAAACCTTAGTGGCAGGCATAAATATGTTTGTAACTTTATTCTGTTAAACATGAACTGAATGTAAAATAGTATGGTAAAAGCTATGAGGGTATGCAGCTATTTTAAAATATCCCCTCTGACAGACGTTGGCACCGCTCTGTGTGTTGGGCATTGATGTTCAAACCTAGTGATTGCGTGAAGTTTAGGAAATGGTAATATCTGATCAAAATACACAAAGGGAGAGCAGAAGTCTTCTGAATGTCCATAAAACAACTGTTACACTTTGACAATTTTGATTGTTTGGGGAAAAACTGTTTTTCAGTATGATCCTTTTAAATCAAGAAGGGGGAAAAGAGGCCAAAGTCGATATGGTAAGCTTTAAAGCTGCACCAGTTCAAGTCTAAGCCAGAGACATCCTTTTAGAAGGGCATTTTTGTTTATTCACCGTTCTAAGGACTCATATAAAATTAGGTTTTATGAATGCAAATGTCATATGGTTCTAAATTTGGAGCGTTAAGCTTTTGATGGATTGGAGTATATGAATTTTTATAAGAAGTTCTTAATGAAGAAAGAACTAGAAATTAAAGTAGGCCTCTAAATTAATTCTCTTAATTTTCTAAGCTTAATGGAGTGCAAAAAACCATACAAATGATGAGAGTAAAGAAGGACTCTATATGCTTATTATATATCTATCATATCTCATCTGGCACAGGATGAGTGTGTGTGCGCGAGTAATAGTTGAAATTAGTGACAGTGGCATAAAATTTTAGTGAAAGGGCCTCCTTCTGCTAAAAGCAGAAGTACTTAAGTATTATCATGTTTCAGCAGTTCGATGCCATGACAGATTTCTAGGTGAGCTTTATGCCATCTTTAATTTCCTCATTTATGAGAAATGCCCCAGAACCTGTGAATACCTGGCAATTTTTAAGGATGAGAAGTGTATTGTTTGAGAGGGCCTGAAGTCTCTTTTCCTACTGATTTGCCAGGAAGACTGGAAGCAATTAAATATTCCAGATTCATTTTGAGACTTTACCCTGGCATTAAAAACTTGTGAGCTTCATGAGGAATACACTATAGAGCACGGAATCCACTGCGTGTTATGCTTTTTCTAAATAGGTAGTAACCAGAAACTGCAAAGAGATGCACTGATGTACCATTTCTATTTGAATTTATTATTTTGTGTAAATACACTGCCTACACCTTGAAGTTGGTCATAAAACACTGATGACATGGGTGAAGTGGAAAAGTAGGTTAGATTTAAGTACGTTATTTCTCAAATAGATCTGGAGACTTTTAGTTAGGCCAAGGAGAGGAAGATAAAAAAAAAGTCATTGAGCAATTTTATTATGCATTTTTCTTTGCTTTAGTTTTAATTTGGCACCCACTGAGATTGTTAGAACTTCACTAAAAAAATGGACTTCCTTATGACTCTTCACATTTATTTGTTCGTCGATACTGTATTTATGCAAAGTTTGCTTGGGAGGAGTTTCTTAGAGAGTGACATGGTTTGATGGGGACAAACATCCAGTATTTGGATGTAGTGACCAAAAAGCCAGAGGGAAAAATACTTTTCTGAATTTGAGGGGTTTTTTTCCTAGGCTAAAATGAAAGAGCTAGATGAGTTTGTGAAGGCTCTGATGGAAACATCATATGTACTTGGCTCCACTTAAGTAACTTTATTGATTAGTGCAGTGAAATCGTCCTTGCAGAACCAAGATCTAAGTGATGAGGTTTAAGATTTATAGTAATTCGGTCAGCCAACTTAGAAGGCTGAAACTACAGCCAACCCTGCACTCTCTGTGTTAATATTTCTTAGACAAAAGGTCAAAACAAGCCATTCCAAGCTTACAGTGATTCCAGAGCATCTAAAGCCAACTGAAACACTGCAGATATTTTGCTGTAGTAATGTCTGTTCTATCTTGGTGGCTCATGGAGAGTCACAAGCTCTCAAACTCCTGTGTGAATTGCCAGATTCAGTAGGTGCTTCTTTTTCTGTGTAAATTTGGTGACTTTTTTTTCCTGAGAAATACAGTATTTTGTTCAATTCCCATAGAACAGTATTTCTATATTGTCTGGTATTTCAGGAAAAAAAAGAATTGTAGATTTTAAGATTGTACTTCTGGATCTTCTAGACCAGTCCAACCATTGGTCGGCCAAAGCATGGAAGGTATTCAGTGCTTTCCACTAAATATGGAATGAATTAACATTGTATCATGTGCACTTGCTTGGGCAGTCACTTTCACAGTCACTTTCAGTATCCACAGTTATTCTGAGGATTTCCTTGAAATTCTCATTTTTGATTTTTTTTAAATTTGAGAAAAATTCATGTTAAGAACACTTTTCCATAAGGAAGAATTATGAAGTGCTAGGTGAAAATGTGTTGGTGTGGTGGTTCTTTGTTGTTGTTTGAATATATGCATTTATTTTTGCTAGCTTGGTAGAAGCATCTATATATTTGGGAGTAAAGCTTGCTTTTAAACTAATGTTGGTAAAGCTCTTGTGTGAAACTGAAAAAGAATGTACTTAGTAACAGGATTTTTTTATTTCCATAAGCTTGTACTATAATCAACAACTCGGTTGTGTAATTGACTGCTTAGTAAACACCTTCACTATCCTGGCATAGGCGAGAGAGGGGGCAGTTCTGTTACATAAAAGCAATAGAGTATGTACCATCCTAAAAATAATAATAATAAAAAACCTATTTGTTTGCAGTGTAGGAGGATGAAGTTTTTTTTTCTACTAACTTTGACCTTTATATGTGCCTTGGGGGGGAGCAAGGTGTTCATGGAGCTTCGTGGGAACGTTTGGGGCTGGTTGGGAACAGAAGTATATCCTGCCTTTCTTGCTGACCACAAAAACGCACCTTAAGAAAGTGAAAGAAAACTTCCTCAGACTTTTAAGATACAAATGTAGTTGCCTACGCTATAAATTGCAAATCAGAGTATCGAGAGTAACTCCTCCTATTTGTTTACAACTTCCTGAGTGCAGTGGTGAAGGAGGGGAGGGGAGCAGGGCTCTGTCCCTGGCACCTTAGCAAGTTTGGTGTGGTTTAGGGTTTTTCTGAGTTCATTTATCTTTTTTTAAAGTAGGGTGATCTGGGGCAATGTCCAAACAGTAAGAAATGACAAATAACCCCTGGGGCATGTAGCACCACTCCTTGCTTTGGTGGAAAAGTTTGGTGCGTGCTTGTGCAAGACTTAATTATCCCACTTCACATGATCATACAGAGCTGAAATTTGCACTAACTTGTGAATATTTGCTCAGGTTTTGTTACGTTACAAGATAAATGACACTTTATATATACTGATATTGTACTAAAGTCTACTGAATGCTTTAAGACGTTAGGTGACAACTGAAAAAATTGCCCAAGTACTACAGAGCAGCACTGAGCCCACTGAAGAGCATGACAAACAACTTTTGTAACTTTTTCAGTATAAATGTATGCTTTGATTTACAATACTAATTTGTGCAGCTTTTGACAAGCACCAAGTATCATTCTGTACCTACGAATATCGCTTGTACTACTTCAGGTTTTGTTGGTTTTTTTTAAAGCAGGTTGTTTAAGATTTCAGTTGTGGGTTTTTTTCCTTTCTGCATAAATGTTCTATTAAAAACATTTGTGGTTTAAGATTTAAATGATTTTTTTTTTTCCCTTAATAGGTGAATGTCTATGTGCTGGGAAAAACTTTCCTTCTGTTGGCCAGAGAACTCTGCATAAACGCTCCAGCCATAGGTATTCTTTTTTGAGTTGACTTTTGAGTATTTGGGTGTATTTTCTGCATCGTTACTTTAGAAGAGTATATATGTATGCATCTATATATATGTAGTGTTGTGTGGTAAATACCAAAGTGGCAACTTAAAAATGAAGCTGGAATCAGTCCAGGCTGAAGAGCAATGCTGACCATGACAGCCTGTTCTGCTTTATACAAGACAAGATACAATAGCTAGATGCTGTTTTCTTTTACAGATAATTGTGACGCTTTTTCTGAGAGTAGTCAAGCTATACTAAGACAATGGGCTGATGTATAATAAATTTGTGTGCACGTCTACAAGCTTGCACGGGCCTGTCACGCTTCAATTCCACAGAGATGCAACGTTTGATAAATATTTGCCAAATTTACTATCTGTCCATCACCTGTAGCTGAGGTGTTCAGTGCTTGAAATACAAGTGGCTTGATGGAAAATGAGGAGCAACTTTTTCCAAGCATGTGAATAACTTTTTAATTAGTAAGTCATCGCTGAAATCATAATGCAGTGATAGGAAAACAGGTTTTTAACCTGTTAAAGAGTAAAAAAAGCTGTTTTCTGGGCTGTAGCCTTTAAGCCAAGGACATTCATGCCAATTCCAGTTAAAAAAGTGAGTTTATAGAAAGGTCTTGTGCCTGGTACCCACCTCTGTGCAGGAATTTTCTTCTTGTACCTTTCCTACTCTCACTCCCACTCTCCTTAATTTGTACCAAGAGAATCAGGCGCCTTTTGTGTTCAGGAACACCATGCACGCACAGCCCTTCAGCTGCATTCAGCTGGGCACGTAACTGCCTGCCCTTGCAGCAAGAGAACCAGCAGCTCGCATATTAAGCATTGTCAGGCATCCAGATAGGATGTGGCAGTGCACAGCTATCGCGGTGTGCTGGCTTCGTTAGCTTAGCGTGATGCTTGGTAAAAAGTTTTTGTTTTCAGTAATTCAGTTGCCTTCTTATTTTTCGTTACCCTTTTTTTTTTTTTTTTTTAAGAGAGAACAGGCAGAATTTGTATTGCAGCTTAGTTTCAAGGTAAAAATTAATGCAGCTTAGGAAAAGGCAAACAGAAAACCCTCTGAACTACATGTAGAGGTACTTGATGATATACATGGAAAAAAACATTAGTTTAGGCTGTTGTTTGAGTATTCTTTCCGAGGTCATTATAGGAAGAGAGATTTATAAAAAACAGTATTTCCAGTTGGCTCATCTGTAATGATTGTCAGACACTGGAGAAAAACACCTAATTTTATCACTGTTTGAGCAAAGTTAAGGGTACTAGCTGCAAAATGACTGCTGATAGTGGATGGGACTGTTTTTAGAAAAAACAGAGGGTGAGGAAAGATCCAGCAGCTTTTGCTTAAGGTGGCTTATTTCTAAGTAGTAATTTTGAGTGGACTTAAAGAACACATTACAAGTGTTCCTCTAACGTCTGCTCCTAAATGTGAGGTTGGGATGCGTATTTACATAGTGGCTGCCAGTATTACAGCTCTGGGCTGAATCTGTGATAAAGCTTGTCACTGTATTAAGCGTTATCCCTAGGTCTTGGCTCTGGCCATTCAAGGAGGGGCGCAGTTTGCCAGGTTGCAAGCATCAGTGTTGCTGTTTGCTGGACAGGCTGGGGAGGTTAACACAGATGACGCGTGCGAACGGACATTAGAGGCTTTCAAATATAACCACAGGATGATTTTGATCAACTTGGATTACACTCATGGTTTGTCTCTCTTCAGCTTAGGCAACACACACCCCCCTGAGCTTCCATGCACGTCAGCTCCCTTTTTTGTGGGGGAAAATAAAAGGCTACTGATGGATAGTCACAGTTACCAGGCAAGGGAACCTTCATATTTGCAGTGATAGCTAATGCCCTGCGCAGATGCATGCAGGGGACAGACTACAGTATCATCACCCCTGTTAACAGTGCTGTAGATGAGTTAACAGACACAAGCCGTAAGATCAGTAATGATCAAGTACACAGGATTTAGGGCAAGTAAAAATGTTTTTATATTTCACAGATTCGTGAACTGCTCTAGTTTAGAACATTCTGCTTAAGTCAGCTGCAGTCTGCAAGTTAGTTATCTATATACAAAATAAATGCACAGTACGTGCGAAATTTAACATTTTTCTGCTTGTTGCAGTCTTAATAATTAAGTCAAATAGCTTATGAATAAATAAAATAAGATTAAATTCAAGAGCATTCCTTCACTTATTTGTATAGCCTGATGTAGCAAATAGGTAAGTAGCATAACATTCCATACTGCTGCAGAGTTTATAGTAAAACTGAAAAATCCCTTGATGTGCATCATTGCAGTATTGGAATACAATCAAGGTGAAAATGCATCATGCATAGAAAATGAGCTCAGGTATTTGTCCTCCTTGTACTCCGGTTCCGTTAGTACTGTCCGAGGAGCACTGGAACTGGAACGTCACTTTCCCGCACTGCACTTCAGTCATTCCCTCTTGCCCAAAGTAACTGAGTTCATTACCGTCGAGAATAGCACTTACATTGTAAAATGTGTCTTGCTCAACCTGCACAGGGTGCTCAAACCACACAGAGAAAGTGTTACTGGAGCCGTCAGAGGTAAACTTTGTCAGATTTTGAGCAAGGACAACTCCTAAGCGCTTCAGTTCGATTTTGACGCTGTATTCAGCTTTGCCACAGCTCGACCCATACAATCCCAGTCCTGCTATAAATATCCGTTTGTCTACGGCAAACTGAATACTGTCGCATCGCCCTCGGTACCTCCACTGATTGCTGCGATATGCAGACGACTGAAACCGATGGCATCGCTGAGGTACGAGTCCTTTTCTTTTTGTCAGCGGAAATTCTAGTTTGGGTTTATTCGCGGCCGTGTACCATAGGAATATGTTGTGAGTTTCCTCAAGGGTGAGGATGTCGGACTGGGCGGCTCCGTTGGCAAACTCTTCCAAAGTCATGGTCGGAATCCGCACCAGGTACAAAGCTTTTCCCAATACATTCCTCTTGTTGCGTGGCGTAACCGGCAGCCCTTGCCTTTTGCATTCGGCCTCTGCCCAGTTGAGAACAGCCTCGAAAACTACCACTTCCTTGGTGTTGAGCGCTTCCCGGGTTACAATGATCTCTAGTGTTTGTTGGTCTATCTCACAGAAGCCCTCTGACTTCAGTGCCATTTCTGCTTGAGCATCAATCACTTCCCAGCAGCGCTGCGTCAGCTCTGGCTCCTCGAAGAGCCTGCTCTGAGACAGCAGGACGCAAGCGTTCTTCGCTTCTAAACTGGTCTCCAGAAAATTGACGCAAGCCTTTGCTAGAGCCGGCACGATGTACTTCTTGGCAGCATACAGCGTAGCCAGAACTGTGTCAGCTTCCAGGTCTATTTCGTCACTATACATGTATCTGGATGGGGGGGGAGGGGGGGGAAAAACAGTTTCTTAGGGGAGAAACAACAGCAACAAAAAAAAACAGGCCACGAAAGATTGATCTGTAGTCATCTTTGCTGGCAGTGAATCCGACATTCACTATTTGTCAGCACATGAAGTAAACAGTAATAAGTGCGTATTGCACAATGCCAATTAGGAGATGTATATTTTATAAGCTACTTTGATTCTGTCCACGTAATTAGTAGACTTGTAGTGGCCACTTACTTTAATAGGATTAGAAAGGCTGCAGGTTCCACATCTGGTATATGGATTTCAGATTTGACCTCTGCGAGATCGCCATAAAACATAGCATAGAAGACAGAGCTACCAACTGCCAAAACATACTGGAAAATAAAAGAGAGAGAAGCCTCAGTGTAATACGTATCGGTAATAGCTGAGCGTGCTGGCTTTCGGCAAGAGCCACGCTTAGGGAAAGTTAAAAGCTGCAGTGGAGGCAGGAGGCTGCCTTAGACTGTTCCCTTTAATTGCAGTGTGTGTGAATTACTTCTGGGATTAGCCGACAGCCGTAATTAGGGGAAAAAAAAAAATGGAACCTAGTTGTAAGGCAGGGGGAGAAGGCGATACGCACAGCGGCGTTAAAAAGCCAGAATTTATCTGCACCAACCTTATGGGCAGGAACTTTCTTGGATGCCCCCGGCGGGCCCACGATGAAGTGAACGTCAGCCATGAGCTCGTTATTGAACATCAGCGCGTTCCTGCAAGCGAGGGGAGGGGGAGAAGCCCGGTCAGCCTCGCCGGCAGCCCCCGGCCCGGCCCGCAGGCCGGCCAGTTGGCGCTCTCCAAGTTGTTGTTGTTGAGGTTTTGGAGCTGGGGCGGCGGGGGCGGCTGGGCGCTCTGCTGGAGCTGCAGGGCGTTCTTCTTGCTGTTGGCGGCGGCGGCGTTGCTGTTTGCAATGTTGGTGTTGGTGCTGGCAGGGTAAAGTTCTGCAGCCATCTTCTTCTTCAGGGACAGGGGCACTATCTCATAGCATCCTGGCACCTTGCCGTTTGACCTCACACTCTTTTTGGACTTCTTTAAGGTCTCTGGAAGCAGAAGAAAAAAAGTCAAACACTTCATGATCCTGCCATTGAGGCAACCATGGGGCAGTGGCATGAGCAAGAGAACTAACAAATCCCAAATGCGAGTCCCGCTATCTGGATATTTTGCACGCTTCTAGATGCAGGGCGGCTTTTTTTTTTTTTTTTTAAATTTTTTTTTTTTTTTTGGTGGCCAGCCCGTCGCGCCTCTCCGGGGGCAAGGGGCGATGCTGTACGGGTCAGTGCCAGCGCTCACCTTGGCTCGGAGCGGGGGGTCCCAGCCTCCAGGGCACTGCCACGACTGCAGCGGGGAACCCGCGCGGGGCTGGCAGGCAGTTCCTTCCCCCGAGGAACGAGGAGAGAAAAATGAAAAAGAAAAAAAAAAGCCAAAATCCAGCAACGCAAGCCCACAAATCCAGCCGAGGCGGTGGGTCAGGAGCGAGAGGCAATCCACAAATCCTCCGAGGGCA